GTAGCTCATTCTGAAAGGGAGTGATCAGCGCTTCACGTAAGCTTACTATCATTGTCCTTCTAATCCCAGGCATATTCATGAACTATTTACTCAGAATCCAGGTGCTCAATCCCTGGGATGCATAATTGTTCACCCATAGGTTTTACTTGTACTTTGGAACTGATTAGTTGAAAATTGTAAAGATAGCTGCACTTTGTAACCATTTTATTTGCACCATTTTGCACAGCTTTAGTTTTTTTGTGCTCTAAGAAGCGCAAATTCTTTGTAACTCATTGGATGTGAAAGTATAACGGCTAGGTTGTATAGCAGGAGGCTTCCTTTCACGCCTGGACAAACATATCGTGTACATGATTGAATTTACTTACTAAAACCAGTTATCGGAATCGGGGACGGGTAACAAATCGGAGAAAAATGGACGTTGTAGTCGTATTTTGAGTCGTGATTTGAAACGCTGAGTGAATAACAAAAATGGACAACATTTTTTTAGAAATTAGTAGATCAAGTCCTGGGGAACATTCTGGAGAAGTTCTTCGAGAAACAAAAAATGTGGAACAAAATGCACCCTTAAAAGCGGCGTTACACGGCTTGGAAGGGGCATTTTGCACTTTCACTAGTTCCTTTTGCTACTTCATATTAATTAGCAGGTTACACTGTTAGTCCTGTAAACTGTTGTGAAGTCGCGAAATGGTATATGTAAGCCACATGGGCTACTGGAATTAACAGGTCTTTACAAGAAGGCGTGGAACTAGCTTCACTAAGTACCAGTTGGTGCACCCACCAAGTTTTAAAGGCTACAGTGAGACAGACGTAATTAGGGGGAGGAGTACGCGGTGTATTTCACGTCACACCCGTTCTATTTGTCGACCTTTGTCATTTTAGAGCCTTAGAATGAGCATAAACGCCACTTTCTTGTCCGGTATGAGAGCGCAGACAAGCAAATATGATGTGGCATGATCGCACCGCCGCCCGCGTGGCACCCCTCCCCCCCAACTACCTTTGTCCTAGATTTGGCCTGGTCTAAAGAGGATGTTTGTTTGGTTGATGTTGATTATACGAAGTAAGCAAATCAGTTCGTTTCCAGGTTTCCCATCAGTGGGAAAATCGACGCTGTTATCGAATTTGGCTGGTGTCTACTCAGAAGTGGCAGCATATGAGTTTACAACGTTAACAACAGTGCCTGGAGTGATCCGATACAAGGTAATACCAAATAATTTTGTCTGCTCGAGGCAAACGGACTTGGAGGGGCATTTAGTAGACTCTCTACACGAATTTGCTGCATCGCGGAGCTCCGTTTGGGATGGGTTAACCCACCCTGAAGTTCCTTCCCCCATGGCAAAAACTGTCACCTCCACTATGCAGCCTTAGTTTCGCACAGGGGATCTTAAAGCCCTTCACCCCTGGCAGGCTCGCACCCTAAACTTTTTGCTTTCTCACTTTTTTTATACTGGGCGGTGTAATGACAAATGACGCTCTTTACCGTGCGCATGGTAAGGAGTGAAAGCGGGCAAAGAGCACATCCTGCAGTTAGGGATCGTTTTTGCAGAATGCGACCCCTTCCCCCCATACCCGATCCTGCCTACCGTCTTCCTGAAGTCTCCCTCTTCCAACTACCTACACCACTTTTCCGGAGTTTTTTTTTTTGGAAAAGCTGCTGTCAAGCAGGGGGAGGGGGGGTATATAGCGCGCGTGAAATGGGGAAAACTGAGAGAAATCAACAACTGCAACATCTTTTTCTACGGCAAGACCTCCTCGCTGGAAAACCCCACCCTTGACCTGGCATCGGTCCGGCCCTAGTTAACCAAACATTCAGTCTCTGTTCGGTTGGTGGTTTGGAACCAGACTTGGTTGGGAAAATAAAAGCTTTTCGGTATTCACTGGCTGGCTTTCTCGAGTCGAGTGTGTAGGCCAAAGGGTATCCTAAAAGGCGCGTTCTGAGTGGAAGTAGAGTGCATGGCGCGCCCTGGTGAGGCACTGATCAACACCGTAAGCTTGATCCTTTATAGTTCTACTTCTTTGAAATGATTTTCCCCTCTCCTATTTTGATGTTTTCAATGGGTTCCAATGGTATTACTCAACTCAATCGGCCGAATGTGCGTTTGTTTATGTAAACGGAAGTTGGTAGTTGGTCCCTTAGGGATAGAGAGCGGGGGAGGCTTGGGCAATATTTAGGAGGACGAGGATTTTGACAGACAGACAAACAAATAAACACGTTTCCCGACAAACTGGTGGTACAGACAGATTTGTGGCTAGGGGGGGGGGGCGAAGGATGGGGCATGGGCCTCGGTTGTTTCTCATCACCAGCTTCAATCAGAGACATGTGTCCTGGCCATGAACCCGAGAAGCTTGTAGTAAACATCGTTTAAGGCCTGAAATGAGCTTGGAGTAGGGCTCGAAGTTCGTTCATGTGAAGCCGAACCATAAGTACGAACTATTAGCGCGGAAAACTCGGCTGTATCTTCCATTTCGGCCTTGTTTCTCGCAATTTAGTCTAGACTTTCACTACAATCAGTCCCGAGAGAGTTTATGTCCCTAGCAATTCGATCCCGTAACTAGTTCGACCTT